TCTTGTATTTCCATTCAGCCGCTTCTATCTGAGCCCGTTTAACTTGGAATTTACTGTCCGCTTAAAACAAGTGATTAAAATGCAAATTAAACGTCAGCCTATTAATGATGTACTAGAACTTTCCTTTAGAGTCAAGTATAACGATTCCACGACTGCCAATTTAGTCCTTCCAAATAATGCACTTTCCGACAACATTTTTGTCTACTGAACCATTTATAAGTAATCAAGTGATGAGTAATTTCAGGTATGTCTCTCAATCTAGAATTATTGAACGTGAATCAAAACATACGTATCATGCCGACCATTGCACATCCAATCGTTGGTGTTAATTGATATAAACTTGTTACAGACTCCGCTACAATCAACTTATCCTGAAATTTGAGGAATGCGCACAACTTCATATTTTCCATATATTGACTGATGAAAATGAATAGAGTCAATTTCGATAATGTATACAGATTCTTCCAGTATTTAGCCAAAAGTGCTTTACTCGGGTAAAGTACTTTTTTTCCATAGAAATATTAATACTGGATTTAATAATAAAACATTATATAGTACTNGAAAATGAATAGAGTCAATTTCGATAATGTATACAGATTCTTCCAGTATTTAGCCAAAAGTGCTTTACTCGGGTAAAGTACTTTTTTTCCATAGAAATATTAATACTGGATTTAATAATAAAACATTATATAGTACTATGTATTTGAAATCTTTTGTAAAAGAACCGTATGTTGGATGTAGAAAAACTTACAGGTACACGTTTCTGTACAGCCACAACAGCACAGTTAACGCCTTTCACACCAACGGCAGTCAAATTCGTTGAGTTTATCGCCTTGAAAGCATACTCTAAAATGAAAAGCAAAATGATGAATCTGCAAACACTTCGAAATAAAAAAACTGACCTCGGTAAAGCTTTTTGCAGAAATCAATCTATTAAGGATACCCTAAACCACAGAAATACCTCACCAACTTGATATACTCGTCCTTCAGGAGAGAAAATTGTAATATGACGATCGAATCCCGCACTGCTTCCTCGTGACATGTTGACGTCTAAAACAGTGGTATACGCTTATATTAACATTCCATTTTTGATTACCGCAAATGCTCTAATACACAGATGCAAGTAAAGCACAGTTCAGAAATGTAAAAAAAACCCCATTAAAATCATTAAACATACAATAGCGTTTCTAAAATTACGCCTTACAAAACAGATACCAGTTTGAGAACTGACGAAGCAATCTGAGCAAAAAACTAGAATAAATATTGAAAAAATATGTAGTGGATCTCACATCGTGAAAAATAAAATTTTCATAAAACTCAATGAGCGATTACTGAAATGTGACTTCGTTTCAAGCCAGTAGAGGTAAAAAAATTGCATTTGCTTATAATGGATATGAGTCAAAGCGATGACTTTTGAAACATGAAGCATTACATCCAGAGATAAAATAAATTTACTGCACTAATAAATATCACGGTTACATAAAACTGAAGAAAAATGGATACACAATCAATGAGAAAGGATCAGACGTGCAAATAAACAATGAATCTAGGCATGACGATCAAAATGCCTATTTGGAATAATTCCAAAATAGCATACTTTCATACTATTAGATTAAAATTTTCAACCATGATTTTTGAATTTCAGTTTAAAATATTCTTTTCCATAAGTTCAGAACAAGAAATGAACATATTCTCAGAAGATCAATAAGTTAGTAGACAATATTGAGTTAAAGCATTTTTCAGAGTACCACTGGAATCTATTTGCGAGTCATCGTGTAATTCATCAAAATAATGTTGAGCGCGACGAGAGGCAGGCATTTTGGCTCGAGATGCTCTATTCATAATGCATAAATACGGTATATAATCAAGTATCACATCTGCAAAATAACTTTACAAGTTATCCTAAAATTTCCAAATGCTGAACATAACTTTAGTGCTCAAATTATGATTTGGGAGCTGAAGTTAACTGAAAGCCGTGAGAACTACTACTACGTGTAGTTACCACTTTGGGCAAAAGAATGGATTTTAACTCCTCCGAATGTTCAGTTATAAACTCTAAGGAATGAGCAAATTTTGATTTATAACAATCACTATTCACAAAAAAAACCCCAAAAAATCTAAGCAAATTAAAACTTAATTCAAACTGTGTCAGTCAAATTAAGCCAAATAAGCCAAAGCCAAAGCTGAAAGGAAAACTTACCAGACAGCGGGAAATACTCAATTGCAGGTAGCGCAGAACGAGTAACTTTCACTGCGATATGCGTATCATTCTTCTCCACGGAGTGCAAATCCTCCTCTTCTCTAAAATCAAAACCGAGTATTAATCAATTTCATTTTTTTTTTTAAAAGAACGTAATACAAACCGATCCGTTGACGAAAGAACTGCTCCTGGTTCGTATGAATGATCATAGCGTAATATGACATTGTACGGAATAGGATAGCATTTTTTGGGCAGTGTTTCAAATTCAATTTGCTCTCGACTCTTTAGCCGTTCCATCAACTGCAAAGATTGAAAATTTGAATCGCTATTAAAATGAAATTAACCTTAATAATTCGCGTCTTGCATAATTAAAAACTTCGTAACTCTATCGCGAAGGATAACTGGCAGAGTCAATGACAAGTAACTATGGAGATCAAACAATTTAAACAGTTAGACTGCAATCAGATGACTACCAAATGAACAATTTGAAAGCTGATATTTAAATAACATTTTGAAAGATATTTAATCTATCCGCACTATCAAAAAAGACGCTATACATAAAAGCTTATTATATATTATATTTTCCTTTATATTATAATTCACCCACCATTCCTAAAGAATTATTGCTGTCTTCTCCTGAGTAAAACTGAAGCTGATTAATACATGCTCGTAAGTCACCGTTATACTGCTCAGCCAGAGCACAACAAAGATCGGGGCACACGCTGATGTTTAAAGCAGCACAGAGTTCCTGAAAATAATAGAATAATTACTTTGGGTCCGTTCAACAGAAAAGAAATGATAGTGAGGATTAATTAATCGTGCAAAATATCATTAAAAAATGGTAAAGAATAAAGAAATTTCATCGATTTCAAGCAACGTACCTGAAGATATGAAGAAACGGTTTGTATTTCTGGTCTAATTAAAGAAAATATTAGAACGGGTGCTTCAAATCCCAGTTGTCTGCGAACAAAAGAAATGTCTAAAATTAACGAGCAGCCATGACATTAATACATATTGACCCTACAACTAACAATGAAATATATGAAACAAGTAATAGTAGATTATTATAGGAAAAGAAAAATATAAAAATTAACCTTCACAAACGATGATAACTGGAATATGGGCTACCTTGCATAGAGTTCTTAGTGCCGGCCAGAATCCATCATCGTGCTTATCATATATTACATCACACTAAAACGAGTGATCTTTTTTTCAATATAGAAAAGTTATATTAAAAAAAATTAAACATTAGAAATGCGGAAGAAATTGAATAAGAAATTACATCGTCAACTAAGATAATGGAGTCTTCAACCATCTCTCCTTTATTCTTCTCATTTTGGAAATATACCTGGTTTACCATTGTAGACATCGAAAACTGAAATAATTCAACATAACTTTTTCAGAAAATACTGAACTTGTAATAACAAACATTTCTTGATATTTTAACAAATGATAAAATTAGAAATTATGAAATAAATTTTCACGATTAGAAACATGAATCAAGAAATGATTCAGTCAAATAATTAACAGCAAAGAAAACCTTGTGAGAATGGGTAGCTCCTTGCAACTTACACTTCAACTGCAAGCCATTTCTCTTTTCATTAGAAGCAATTTCTAATACATGCATTTCATAACGCTTCGAGACTGCATAAACCTGAAAAAAACATCAATAACACATTTCGTATTTCATTCATCACTATTCCCACCTCTCTCTAAAATTAAAATTTCTTAAGGATTACTAGTGATGTCTTGCCACTACCACAGTGACCATATATGATAGCAGTATTGCACAATTGCTCTCCTTCTTCATCGGAACCAAAAGAATCGAAGGAATCCGAATCACGCCTCTTATAATGACTGGTTACTCTTATATCTGCAAAAGCCAAGCAATAGCATTATCATAGCATCATCATAGCATCATTATAGTATATTCTTTCATTCCCATATAGTATTTACAAAATTCATTCATTACGAAAAAAAAGCACATCAATTGGCACCATTTCATAAATAATCCGTGTAAGACATTACCTTTCTTGTGGTTTCTGCTTTTTTGCAATCGTCCTTTCCATATATTGATCCAGTCACAAAGTTTACGAACAGTAGAGCCATCAATAATCAATTCATCAGTTTCCACTGGCCTCAATGCTTCACTCCAAGTGTTCTGCTTTAATTCTTCAGTAAGCAATTTCCATCTTCCATGTTTTGACTTCTTTCTTACACTCAAAACAAATTTTCGATGAATAACCTTCCGTGAAACCACAAGGATAAGAAAGATCGTGAACAAAACAAATAGGAGCAAAAGGAACCTTTTCGGTCTCAATAGGATGCGTGAATCAGCTACTGCAACTTTCTGCTTCAAGCTTCTGTCTTCATCAAAGCTCTTCCTCCATAATGACATTTGAAATATATTGTTATTGTCAGAAACCATTTTAGGAACCTGGTGCCCACGAAGTCCACATGGCAAGTCATAGTGAACAGGTGCAATTTCGGCATATCCAACGTTCGAAATGCTTGGAAAAGGTGCAAAATCCATTTCATCCATCAGAACTGCAGTATAGGTTACTACAGCTTATGTAGAACTACAGGCATTTGTCCCTACAGTTCCCAAACTTTTCCCCCTTGGGTGGAATGAACCAACATAATTTCCGACGATCAACATCTAAGCGCCTGAAAATGCATGCAGTAAAGAAAATTATGCAGAAGATTCGACCTGGTGTCTTTTCATGCTTTGCAGGAATGCAGTTTGTTTTCGTATCGGTGAGTTGGGCATTACAGATTGGAGAGATATTCGTGGCAGTCTCTGATTTACACATTGTCCACCTATTTCTCACACGCATTTTCTTGCAGAAAGTCAGCGATTTCCGAGAAGTACTGTTCAATTCTTGATCGTTAAGGAGAATCACATCATCATTCATCTCATCAGTATTTTTCTAAATTTGCTGATAAAATAATTTAAAATCTAGATAGCATTATAACTACCTTTAATATTAGACGAACAAACCTCCTTAAACAACAATTAATAAATCAAAACTGATTAGGAGTTAGACAACAATAAGAAGCTTCGAAAGTCTATAGTTCGGTTAATGTCTGCCAAACACTAACTGACCCAAAACTGAATAAATCCCCTAACGATACAAAATGCTACTGAAGTAGAGCATGGGGATCGACAAAGTATTTTCCATACCCATGAAGCTTGGGGAGGAACTCGTTTCCTATAAAATAAATTAATATTGAGATATCAATATAAATGTGTAATAATGAAATTTCTTATTTTTTTTAATAAAGATTTACACACCATCCACAGGGCAGCATACCGGACGCAATCAATTAAGTAAATTCTAATCAAAACAACAGTGCTAAGGGAAGTAAAACGCAAACAACGAAGAAGACAAAATCCTCAATTTGACAAGTAATAATCAGTTTCTTCCGTGGATTTCTTAAACAGTTGCCAAAAATTTATGTACGCAAATCGCTACATATGTGCAACATAACCTCAATTCATTAAAAAGTCACCTCGTACAAATTTTCTTTCATTTCTCCTACAATAATCGTTTGACGACGATTCGAGGTTGGTAAATCATTAAGCGAAGTCGCTTCCTGCAATAATAGTGACCTTCGACGACATTTATTTCCTTTCTCCTGCTTTTCTGTAAAACAATAAGGTAACGAAATCAAACACTGCGGCTTGAGCGGAGGATAAACAAACGGAATAACAAATGACTAACTAACATTAAATGAAGAAATCAAAGCAGTAGACAAAATATATACCATTTTTATAAACCTTTTATCTAAGTCACCTACTTGGTAGTCCTCCAAAGCTTCGCCTACGTGACGACTGTTTATCCATCAGTACATTGTCTGATTGCACTGTACTTTCAGTGATCTCTTCCTGTTGCTCCAATATAAGCGTATCTTCCCCATCAAGTAAAGGATTCCAGTAGTTTGGTATATCTTGTAACCATTTCTTAACCCTGAAATAATCCACTGAATAGATAGTGCGAAATATTTAGAAGCCATTTTACACTTCTTAAAAGCTTTGAAAGTGGATCCCGTGTTTATTAAAATTGAAAACTTTATTCAAAATGAAGATATACTTTGCTTTTGGTCCTGCACGGGGGACAGCCAATAAAGATGAACTTAATGGTTCTAGACCAGTACATGCGTTATTGCACCATTGCACATCATCACTTTCTTTACCGTTTGCTACATTTAAATTGGTATTTTCTTTATTTTCATTTAGGTCCTGTAAAAATGAACTTTCCGAATTTAACAGCTCGTGCATGTTTGATATGTATGACTGAATAATTGAAGAATAATTGCACAGTCTTCTTTGTATGCTACTAAAATGGAAGTATTTACAAAATGCAACTACCTATCAAATAAATGAAATTTTTGCTAGGGAAATAACTGTTTACTTATGTTTAAAACGCAGTCAATCAGTAATTAATGAACCTCCTTCGTCCCTATGGAAAGACTCCGCAATCGATCTCCACGCACCCACATAACCGCTGTTTCTTCCTTAAATGTTTGCAGTAAAACATATAAGTTCTTGGAGAATTGGACACTAACTTCGAATGCGTCAGAATTATTAAAACCTCCATAAAATTAAAAAAATTAAAAGACTGTCCCGAAATTCAATTTCATCGTTCAGAAACAAACTTGAATCTATAAATTAACTCTACAAAAAATGTCTTAAGTCGAGCTACAACGAACAACTATTTGATATCAATTGTCTTTTCATGCTCCAAAAAGTGCAGCTCACAGCACTTACCACATGTCGTTTGGTTCTTTTCGTTGCGGCACTTACTTCCGACATATTCGATACCTCGGACTGATCAACCGCTTTCTTGGTATTCATGCAATTATCAACTTCTTTATGTTCCGGTTGTGATGCATGATCATCTTTGCAATTATCAACTTCTTTCTGTTTCGGTTGTGATGCATGGTCATCTTTGAAAAATACACCAAAAAATAAGGGTGACAGACATATATCTTAAGTTTTCTGGCATAAAAATAATAAACATTGAATGAAAGTAGCTTCGTATGGATAAACAGAATATATTTAACACTACCAGTGACGTCGACTGGTTCACTATTGCTTTTATCGTCCCTTGTTTTTTGACATTCTTCAATCTTTTCCATTTCTGGGTGACACTGAAAAGTTTTAGACATAACAGGCAAAAACCTGACTGCCTCATTTCGAAAAGTGTTGGTAGTAGCATCTTGCAAGATAGCAGGCTGGGTAATGGGTATGCAATGTTCCATACTCTCGCCAGCGATCTGAAAAAAAAAGCTCAAAGAAATATACCATTGTTCCAAATAAAAAATAAAACTCAAGACACAACTTATAGTTTTAGTTTTAATTCTTTTTGAAACGGATGATATTCACTTTTTTCAGAAAATCACATATTTCACTAATACAGTACCAAAAGAACGTCTAATGTGTAACTTTCACATAGTAAAAAAAATCTTACTTTTGAAATGGCTGATTCCTTTACAATCGGTGGGGAGTCTGGCATTTTCACAACTCCAGGTATCTTCCCAGAACGTGGAGTGATGTCATGGATATTCAGGACAGAGTGAAAATGCACGCGTTTATGCTTATTCCATCCCTTTGCCCTCATTGTTATACGTCGAGCTGTTTTTTGAGCAGCACTTAGCAGGATAGGCTTCAGTGATACCGGTGGAGGTTCGCAAGTTATCTAGAAAAGAATAAAAATTAGGAAACATTTAATGCTGTTAGCCATCATAATCTACAAAAACCCTCAGTGTCAATATTAATATATAAAAAACCAATTAGAGAACCACTGATATCTAAAAAAGTGTTTATCCATCACATATGATACCACACAAATACTAGAAAAATAAAATAAAACGATGAAATTTCTAATAGGAAAATGTCACGCATACAGCAAGTAAAGATTCACCATGTAGTTTCTTATTGCAGCTTTTGACCTTGTCCTATAAACCGATTTCCGCAAATGCATTGACGTACGTCGCTTGCTCTCCGAAGTGATTGCTTTCTCTTCTGGCGTTTTTTCGTTGTTATTGCTGTGACAATCAAATTTTGATATATCTTCAGGAATGATATCATTCACTTCTGTCTAAAAACTAAGTAAAAATTAGTCATTTACAGCATCGACAGGAGCTATAATACTGGAGAGAAAAGAGAGGTTCACTAATCGGAAAACTTACATTTCTGAAGAACAAGGATGATCGTCGCCTCAGATGCTTCCGGCCAAATGCAGCTTTTTCCAATGAATCATTCATCTATAAAAACAACTCAAGTAATTAAAAACATACTCAAGTAATTAAATTAAAAACATAGCAATTAAAAAATATGAGACTAGAGAACCAGATAATAACCAAAGCAATAAATCATCAATTGTGCGGCGCAAAATACTAATTTTTAAATATTTAAACACCAATAAAACTAAGTGGCAAAATACCCACAATAAAACATTTAGTCAAAAATAACTTGAAGATTTTACAAAGGAAAGAACTACTAACGTTTTTGTCGACGACTGAGGTAGTGACATCGAATGAATGAATTTGAGACTGTGAAATAGTCTCATCATCAGTTGCCATGCTGCATTTGATTATGTTATTAATTTTAATTTCTGAAATAATCAAAATTCATTACTTCTCTCATAAGCAAAAGAATCAGGTAATAATCGAAGCAATAAATTGATCACTGGCAATAATATTAGTAAGAGTTATGATTACAAATTCATAATGAAAATTACAAGCGTCCATGACATCAATAATTCTCCATCGCTCTTATATCATCACGATGTCGAATGAATGTATCGATGCCACTTCGCAACAATCTCTCAGTTGCCACTCCTCTCGTATAAATTTGGCGTACGTGACGCTCCTAGTTGTAACACGTTATTGCATATAGCGCAATGGAAAAATTATGAAAACATGAATAAAATGAAGATTGCAATATCTGTGAAATAATCTGTAACTAACGTCGTTGGAAGTTAAAATTTCACATTGTGAGTCAAAGGTGCATATTTCGTATCAAAGATCCATATTTCAGTGTCTGAGGAATTCTTGGGGAATATTATAAGAAAACAAAGGATCATTGTAATTTTAATAATTGAAGATCAGAGGACAAAAAATAAGTCGAAATATTCCACAATCATTGTTTGACTATTATTGATTAGATCAAATCTATTTAATGCATCTGAAGGTAATCAATGCTAATCGAATTGCAATTTCTCACATTTTCAAATTAACTAAACCGAATCTTTCTATAATACATTAGGATCCTCGAATTATATATATCATCTCACTTATGATTTATATTTTCAATGTTTATCATTCACAGTAATACTCATTAATAATAATAACAACATGCACTTACGATAATATACTAATGGTCGTGATAAAATTTGTTTGATAAGAAGAGTAGTATTTATTAATAGTAATTAATACTTGATAAAATTGTTTGATAAGAAGAGTAATATTTATTAATAGTAATTAATGCTTAAAAAATTTCATTGATTAGAAAATTTGTTGCATGGACTATTGATCGATATATAAATCAATTAAATTTTCATATTTTGAAATCTTCAAAAGGATTCTAATTTTAAAGAAGTAAGAATCCTTTTGAAGAATTTATTATAATATATAAAAATTGAATATTGAATTGTTACTAATAGTTATAATAGAAATAATTAATGAAGAAGAAAGGAAATCATTGAGTTAATTAATTTTTCGAATTTTTTCCTCTCCCACTTTTAATTTTAATTATTTTAAAAATTTTCAATTTTAAAATTTCATCAAAATTTAAAAATTTTTAAATTTAAAATTGTTATTTAAAAATTTTTAATATTTGGTAAAAAAGAAAGAGGAAAAATATTTAATCGGAAATCCGGTTTAATCATTTTCTATAACCGATTTTAATTGATATTTGTTTATGATATCTATCATTCATTCTCACTCGAATAGACCATTCCCAATCATAATCCATCCATTTCATCATATGTACCTACCTACCTATTATTATTATTACTGTTATTTAACTAACCATTTAACAAACAGGAATTATTCAGTTGCCCAAAATTTCTACCAACAATGGTATGGTTTGTAAATGTATTGGTAATATTGGTGACAATTCATGCGACATCAAGTTTTGTTCATCTTGACGGTATAAATTTCAATTTAATAATTTTTATAATTTACTAAAAAAATGCTATATTATTGTAAAAAAAGTAAAAAAAAATAAATTATAAAATAATAAAACATAAAATAATTATAAAATATAAAATAATAGAAAATATTTTGAAATATTTAAATAATTCAATAATAAAAAGTAATTTAAAAGATTTTATAAATAATGTTTTAATATTATTTTTAATGATTATTTTATTTTATGTTAAAATTTTATGATTATTTTAATTTTGAATTTTAAATTAACAAATAGAAATTTTGTCCTAAAATTGAAAAATGGTAGAAAGGAAAAAATTTTGTGATAAAAGTTTTGATGAAATAATTAGTGAAATAATGTGACCTAACGTATAAAAATAATCTGACCTAAGGTATGATTAATAAAAAAGCGGATTGAGTGGAATAATTATAATTGTTGCCAGCTTAATAGATTTATAAAAACCTAATAAATATGATTAGAAAACAAAAGTTGTGAGTTAAAATTAGGCATTAAAATTATGCGATAGAAATTACGAGTCAAATAATTAGTGGTTAAAATTATGTGTTAATTATGAATTACGATTTTCTCTTATATTTCTTGATATATTTATCTAATAATCAATAAATTCAAATATGAATAAAATCACGAATGTATATCTTTCTCTCCCTTTCTTTCTTTCTCTCTCACTCCTTTGTGCTTTCTTTTTGTGTACATTTTTCTTTCTATCTCTCTCTCTCTCTCTATGTGTATACATACCGACATTAACACGTTTAACTGAAAATAATAATAATATAGTAATTAATAACAATAATGTAATGATAACAATAATGATAGCAATAATAATTAATTAATGGTAATATTAACAGAAATATTAATAAATAATAATAAACAGTAATAATAACAGCAATAACATAATAATAATAACAGTAACAGTAACAATGATAACAGTAATAATAATAATAACATAATAATAAAAATAATAGCAATAGTAATAATAATAATAATAATAATAATAATAATAATAATAATAATAATAATAATAATAATAATAATAATAATAATGGTAATAATAATAATAAGAGGAATTTATGAATTCAGGAATAAATTTAATAGCAACAAATTATTCAATATATTTAACAATGAGGAATAATACTCCCACTTATCACCAGGTATTTAAATATTAATTAATACGAAGTAATATTATTTTTAAATTAAATTAAGTGCACAAAAATTTTTTCACTTATTTTAAAGCAATTTGCAGGTATTCATCAATATGATAAATATCATTTGCATGAGATGCAAAAACTTCTACAGCATACATTACATGCTATGCAACACAAACTAAGAATGATATTTCAAAATAATACATTGACAAAACAAGAACTTAATGATGCAATTAGAAAATGGATCAAAGATGGAAGTTCAGCATTAGAGGTAAGTTACACCATTTATGTTTGCATATCTTTAAATGAATTAAATCAAATTTAATTAATGATTACAGTATTTATTATTTTTGGTTAATTGTAAGCTGGCATATTTCGATTTTAGATTTAATCGAATTTGTGAAAAGTTGACGACAATTGGTAATATATTCTAAGATTTAATGAAATAGCAGTTATTACCGCTTAATACGAATATTTTGTGATGAGAATTAAAAAACAATTAATATATTAAATTACTTAATATTTTATATTCATTAGAAGAAATAAAAACAATGTAGTGTTTTGTTAAATAAATTTACTAATAATCACCTTTACTATCACCTGGCTATTTTATGTTGAAATTTAATTTTTTAATTTTCAAACTCAATAAATAATTCAAGAGGTTATTATTTTTCAAGAGGTTGTCATTTTTTTCAAGAGGTTATCATTTTTCTCAAGAAGCTACCATTTCTTTCAAGAGGTTACCATTTTTTTCAAGAGGTTATCATTTTTTCAAGACGTTATCATTTTTCAAGACGTTATCATTTTTCAAGAGGTTATCATATTTACAAGAGGTTATCATTTTTTCAACAGGTCATCATTTTTTAATTTTATTTGAAGAAGTTATTTTTTTATGGATGCAAATATAAAAATTTAAAAACAAATTAAATTTCTAATATTAATCGAATATTTTTCAAAACATCTTATTTATTATAAAGATTTAAGATTTAATAATATTTTTACCATTTTCTTTTTTACGATTTCATGATATTTCCTACAAATTTTTGTAGAGTACGATTGTTGACAATCTACGACAACATCAACAACAAATCATCGAAATGCAAAAAAGCATTGAAGAATCAACAAACATAAGTCCGAATGAACAAAAAGCTGCATTAATGATATTAAAAATCAAAGCAAATATGTCATTGACAAATTCTCAAGAAATTAATGAAATCGATCAATTTATGAAATCACTTAATCGAACTGATCGTATTAAAATACGCATACTTCTACATCAAATTTCATCGAAACATAAACTCAATCCTCGTTCAATTCAAATATGGGATGAATTATTATACGATTATTCCGATGATTATTATTCAGACGAAATTTTAAACGACTATGAACCATCATCATATGTTTCATGTTGTGATTCAGAGAATCCATGCGATGTTATAAGCGTGAATTTAAACATGACGATGAAAGATGAATTGACAGGAGTGATGAAAAATTGTATGAATCAAGGAAATTCACAAATACCGGTTAGTTTAAATGAATTTTATTTTATTTTATTTTTTCATAATTTTGATGAAATGATGAAAGAATTTTTCATTATCATTTTGTTGTACGAATGAAGACGAATCAATAATTTTAATATAATTAAATTAATTTAAATTTTTTTAAAATAACAATTTAATAAAATGATGAAAAAATTTTTCACTATTATCTTGTTGTATAATTTTTTAAAAGTTCTGTTGAAATTGACTTAAATTGGTTATTAATATTAAATGAGAGAGAATAAGAATTGTTTATTTGTTATTCCTGATATATCACGGGTTTAGCAGTATCATGAGTTGAATAAAACATCCATCACATGATAGCAAATAGCAATTCCATTTGTTAACACGAATTATAAATCTATAATTATGAAATATTGAAATATATTATCAATGTTACAATTTTATGCCTAATACAATTGTACTCGTGATAAAATTAACTGAAAAATATCAGCTAATTAATTCCAAGCAATTTTCTGCAAATTCAAATTAATTATAATTATGCTATTATTTGTTATTATTATTTCCAAAATTTAATTTTGATAATTTTCTTCATTCTTCAAAAAAAAAAATTTTAATCTTATTTATTTTATTTCCAGTGCTAAATTAATGAGGTAAAAATGTTGCAGGATGGCGTGATTGAACAATTTCTAGCTAATATTACTCAATATGCGCGTTCGTTCGATAAATTATAAGTATTTTTGTATTGAAAATACTATGAAATGGATCAATGTGTCAGATGAAGTAATAATGTAATTAATGAATTAATGAATTGATCCACATTTTTTACTTTTAATTATAATTAATCATTTAATATTTTTCCAAACTTTATTTTTATTATATGATAAAACTTGATTTTCATTGTTTTTTTGCATTTGTCATAAATTGAATAAAGATTGATAAATAAGCTTTAATCAATCTGATAGAAATGATAAGTTAACAATTGCTACAACAAACATTATTTCCTTTCTTCAATTACGATAAGCTTTAATTAAAGGATATTTGATTGAGTCTATGCTAAATCATCTTATATATTTTAATACTGAAAATGGTATCAAATATTCGACCTAATATTGACCTTATTTTTTATTTTCCTTTTCACATTAGTACATGCTGAAAGCATACAAGCGCATTGATTTATGCCTTTAATAAAATATGTTGCTAATTTTATCCGTTCCCATGGATACAGCCACAATTATAAGTTATAAGTTAAGCCAGTCAAGAATATAAGATAGGCTAATGTAATATGAGTCATAATACGACAGTATCAGATGTTTCTGGTCTTGTTATACGACCAACAAATCAGGAAAAGTAAGTTCATCTGATATATCTATATGTATCTTTCGTTGATGTTTAATGTTATGGCCAAATCTTTTAGCTATCTTTTCAAGAGCTAATTTATTTTCTTGGCTCTTCAACCTTCATTCTTCTTTGCTTCTTTTTTTTGTCGAAAATTATAAAAGTAATCTAAAACTTATGACTTCATTAACCTAGCATTTTTTATTTCATTCTCCTACGAAAAGTATATCAATTATTCATTTCTACAAATTTAATACAACGATTGGTCAACATCCGCTAAGTTTATAATGCCATTATATGTAAGACCTGATACTGTCAACTTTTACAATGTTAAATTTGCATAGTTATTGATCGAATGTAAAATATGAAATAGGAAGTTTTAAGAAAAAAGAAAATAGCAAAAACGACTATCCAACTTCTTCCCATCTACAATTGCTTTTTTCTTTCATTATCCTAAATTATCCCGGGTTTAGATTTCGTCCGACTATCGGACGACGAATACTAGAAGAAGTATTAACTGAAAGTTTAGGAGGACATGTATTCGAATCGAGCAATGCCGAACAACTCAGCAATTCAATATCCTCCTTAATTCGAAATCGTTTAAAAGGTATCCAAAACTCTTTCGTCTTTTTTTATTTCCATCAGTTTTCTACGGGAAAGAAAGAAAGGAAGAAATAAAGCTTATTTATTAACCTTTTTTGTCTTCAGGAAAAAAGTAAAGCTTATTTTGTTAACAAAGGAATAATTATCGCTTACAAGAAAAGTTAATGCTAAATATCATATTTACATTCAATTTCTTGCTTATTCGTTAATACTTCAATCATAATTAGTAATTAGCCATGATCAGTCCATAATAATTAGAATTAAATGAACTAAAACAATGCAAGTGCAAAATCTGAGATTATTCCAAATCAACAATAAATTTTCCAGGACTTAATTTACCAAAATACAAGTATATAATTCAAGTAATTTTGGGAGAAGAATGTGGACAAAGAGTTCGGTAAGAGATTTTGCTAAATCAGTTTTTTTTCCAAAAAGTGAAGAATTTTTTCATAAAAGTTTAGCATGTAATCCAGAGAGTGATGCACGGTTACTTCAGTAAAAAGCTGTAGCAACACCGCCATGAGGAGTAGCTTGTGGGAATTTTACCGCATTTATGACTTATTTTGAATATAGAGAACTTCATTCCGAGACTTCTATACTTAATTTCACTTAAGTAACTAAATAGCATCTTTACAGTAATAGGTAACAAAAATTCAATATTATTCAGGGCACATGCAGCATGCATGTGGGACAGCGATACTGATTCGATGGCACATCATGTCTATTCAAACGTCAGTTCCTTTACAGGAGTAATTTGAAAATTGGTTTCTTCCTTTCCTTTTTGTTTGTGCTAGCAAAATGGTTCCAAAAAAATGCAATTTAATCTTCACAAAAATTTCAGGATCATTTGTTTTGTGAAGCAACAATATTTGCCGTATTCCACTATTAGTATCGAATTTTCAACTATATAAAAAACAATTTTAGAACCACAACATTATCAGGAAAAAACCATAAGCGACTTGTCATATGATCCCTTATTCCCATAATGTAACTGCTATGGAACATTCCATTGTAGTTTACAAAATATTTATGAAGTTAAACTATATTAAAGAAACACAACAATAAAAAAGAGTTAACACATTCAATCAGACTTCTGCTTTACGGACATGTCGCCCACGACGTGATGCTACTGGTTTCAGTGAACGAAGTAGTTGCGAAGCACGTTTCTGTGCCAACTGAAAATAAAAATATTAAATAATTATTAAGTAAAGATTAAAAAAAGCAAAAACATAATCGTGAATATCTAACTCCTTTGCCTGCCAGTCCCTGATAAAGGTTCAGTTAAGAAAACTCAGTACTTTATGCTATTTTAGAGGTAAAAATCAGCACTTCACAGAATTGTATCAAATGTACCTGACCCAAATGGAGCCATAGAAAGATGTGGTTGACTTCAACTATGTCATCCTAATCAAATACAGTAATAACCTTCGCTTAATAGAAATTCCGTTTTCTGAAAATTGATAAAATACGAGTGAATAATGCAAAAGCTTACCCCTTTATGTGCAATTCGATAACTACGGGCAATATTTTTCACACTCTTTAACGATTTACGACTATTCTTCTTCAGCGTAACAGATACATTCGACTTACTAGGCATATTGGTCTTATCTGCAAAATTGATTTTTAAATTACAAGAAAAAATTTAAGACCAGACCACTTCAAACCTCACGTTACGTAGCCAAAAACAAAAAAAAGGACTAATGTCGCACTTCTGTTGCCTGAAAACACAACTTCCGAATTAGACGCAAGTCTGAATCACGGCAAATTAAGAGATCGTGAAGAGTAAAGAGTCAAAATTATATTCATCACATCTGGTGTCTGATCTTTTCCCCGCCTTACACTGTCTTTGTTCCTTACTGTCCCTTGCGATCTTTGCAAAATGTGTTTCCACAATCCCTTTCTCCCTCTCAGTAAAGATTTTATCATTAAAAACCAAATATGCTGATTCTTACATGAAATTCAACCTGAATGGACTTTTGTACCTTGTCTATTCTTTTATTATCGTCCTAACTGTGGTTCTGAACAAGAGCTACTTAAAATAAGTGTCTCACTTCCGTAAGCATAACTGTCGCTGAATCCTTAAAACGAGAAAAAAATCTCCCCCAACCATGTGCTCATCAGCTGAATAATGCGACGAAAATGTAGGTGACACAAAAGTTAACAGACTTAATAAATAAGAAAGTTATAAGACAACCAAAAAATAAAAATAGGACTTACTTCGCTTTTTCATTGTCACTACAATGCCTTTGCCTTCAGGTGATGCTTGGATGTCCAAACCTTTTCTATGAATCAATCCATTGAAACGGATACTGTTTACACCCTTTATATTGAAACGTTCTCTACTAAAATGTTTCGGGATTCCGCGTTGTCGATGCAGAAATGAGGATCTCTTCCGAATAATTTGCCACAGAACATCAGCTAATGCATTTACCATACTGATTAATTTAGTTCACCTAAAAATCCAACTCATGAATCCAGTCACTTAATGCTTTAGCTTCACGCAAATACTCTCACACAACGCGAGGATACCCAGCCCATCACTCCTATATCGCGAAGCGCCGATTGACGTTGTCAAGGTAGCATAAAATAACGTACCGTAAATGTTCGTTAAAGGTTAAAATGGGTCGAAATGCAAATCGGCCAACTCGCATGAAAATTGAGATAAATTTTTGAAAATGCGCTCTGTTTCAGTTCGTAAAATAATTGATAGGTATAACTAATTCCAGAGTGCATAGATTTTGCTGCAATCAACTCTAATGACAACACGTAACAAATGGCGATATATTTCAGGTATAGCACATTGCAGATATTATCTGCAAGGATGCCCACGCCAAGTATTGAAAAACGGCGTGTACCACCAGATCGACCGACGAGTAGTAGTTGGGTTCGAAATAACTTTATCGTTGGTGGCGTGCTTGGCTCAGGTAGAAATTAATTTTTTCTGTGCTCATTTCATTCTGAAAATTAAATCCGTCGGACAATTTATCTTTTGAATGCTGCTAAATGCGGCAGAAAGGCTGAGTCTGTGTTGTATAAGTTATTGCTTTATAAATCAAAAGATTCTAGTTTTCTCTCTTATCCTATCCTTTAACTTTCTTATCATAAGTAAAAAAAACAACTATCATACCTTTCTTTTTCTTTCCGTAACACATCAAATAATGTTGAATGGGATCGGAAATCCATCATCGGTTGAGCTGTATATCCGTACCATAACTGATACAATTTTACGTATGATATTCATATCTACCTCAATATAATCTAGAATAAGATGCTCACGGCAAATCATTGAACAGTAGTCGAAGCTGGTTAGTTGATAACAATTGAATTACTGTCATAAAATCCCTCGTTATACATTTGTGAATGGATTCCACAGCGATATATCATATCCGCATTACTATTTTTTCCTTTCAGGTACATTTGGCAATGTGTACGAAATAAAATGTCGTCGTGAGCCTGGTACATCGTATGCGATGAAGGAGTTGTCAAGAAACAATTTACCTAAATTTATTGCCATGGAGTTACGAATTTTGCAACGTTTTGGTGGTGTTCACAATATTATGAGGATTCATGCGGCTCATCGAGAACGTGATCGAGTTTTCATTGTTATGGATTACTTCGAGCATACTCCTACTAAAGTACGATTGAGCTGAAAAGCATTAAAATGTTAAATTGCTAATTTAAAATCTTTTAATTTCAGTAGGAAATTTCTGACGTACGTGAAGAGCTCAACATATTGGTTATTATAGGACAATTTTTGTCTTTGTAATCGCATGAATTTTGTACGTCACAGATATTACAATAATTTAGTGATGTGTAAGTATGTATTCCTTTTCTGTATTTAGCCATTATTTAGTTCTTAACTGTTTTCTTTATTTGCAGGAAATCATGGCTTCTGTAACAGTATCAGAAATTCTAGATTACATGAAGAATTTATTGGATGCATTGAGGTATCTACATGGGAAAGGCATCATTCATCGGGATGTTAAGCCGTCTAATTTCCTTTACAATCGACCTAAGCATAAGTAGGTTTTAGACTTTAAGAATTCATTAAGAATATAAGGAATTAATGCCTGTATTGTTTTATTTATCCAACTACTTGTTTAAGATATTGTTTAATTGATTTTGGTCTCTGTGAAGAAATATCCGATAGTCAACCACTACGACAGCATGTGAAAAGTCATCACGGCGTAAGTATGAAAATTTGATTTGACTTTTATAACCACTTTCATTTTCCAGAAACTTGCAAAATACTGACTGTTTGCAATTATAGATTAGAATGGCTGAATTTGGTTTAACTGCTTGAAATTAGCACTGTAAGCCTTGTTCGAAAGATGTCATGATTTTTAATTTTTTTAAATTGTATGTTCATTATATTTCTTTTAGACAGGAGAACGAAATGCCTTAAAAAGTCTCAAAGTATCGGATCAAAATCTTAAGATTTGCGAAAGAAGTAGAGCAAGAAAAAGGATTAAGCGGAAAGGATGTGAATGTCACGGTTTTCCACGCGTGTGTGATATATGCACCAAGCGGCCTCGACTTCATGTTAATAAAGTTGGCCTTAGTACTTTTCTTGGCTATAATCAGCTGATTAGAGGGTTTCAGGAAGATGGAGTAGGAAAATTGTAAATGTGGCATGCGTCACATCGGACAAAATAAACTGCTTTCAGGCTGGAACACCGGGTTTTCGAGCCCCGGAAGTGCTACTTAAATATCGGCAGCAGACCTCTTTGGTCGATATTTGGTCAGCTGGTATTACATTTTTGTCTTTGCTTTGCCATAGGCATCCTGTGATGCGACCAAATGATGACTATGAAGCAATCGGGCAAATGGCTATTATTTTCGGTTCAGAGCCAATCGAACAACTTGCGCGGAAGAACAATTCAATCTTGTTAGCTAGCTGGAATTTTCCTGGTTTTGATATGGTCAAATTTGTGTATGCCATACGGAACGGTATATAATTTATATTTTCGCAGTTTATTCAAGTTAATAGAAATACTCCCATCACATCACATTCTACGTATCACCATGATCACATTCCGAAACATTATTCATGTGCCAAGCTCTGAGACAGGTCAAGGATGGATAATCAAATATAAAACAAGAGTCTGGAAAGAAATGTAATATTTTAATCATTTCTTATATTTTGCAGAAGAAATACCACAACAGAGTAAATACTGCGATACTTGTAGAAATCTTTTTTTCGGTAATTACGGTGCAAAATGCTTGTGTCGTGTGTCTGAAGAACATTCTCTGAGGCAACTTGCTCCTGGTAATTCTCATTTTAATACCACCGTTTTAAATTTATAATCGGTGTTCCTTCCACTATTTTTGAATTAGTGCTTGCTTACTCTGAATGTTAAATTTCTCCGTAATACTGGTGTCAAAGCCATTTTTAAACCAAGTAGTGATCTAATTTTAATTCTCAATTTCAGGTCAGCTTAAGAAAGTGACCCTTGTCTTTGGTCATTCGACCATTTAGCTTGGGAGGATCTTTCTTGAGGGGAAAAATACTAAAAAAGTAATTTGCTGTTGTTGAGATAGAAGTAATAAGGCAGAAACAGGAAGTCTTTATGAAGCTTCATTTTAATTTCATTGTGTTCAAAATAAGTTTCAGATGAATGTGAAGTGTTAATTCTAATTTCATTTTCTAAACAAATTTCAGATGAACGTCAAGTATTTGAAATATTGAAAAGGTGTCTTATCGTTGACCCAGATGTACGATACACTGCTGAAATGCTTTCAGCATCTTTCTCTTAATTGCTTACGACAAGAGTTCATGTTACTTTAATACGAACTTTCAATTTTATCTTTATTCCTTTGAATAATTAGATCATTGAAGAAGTTAGACGCGAAATAATTGGTTAGATTCTTATCATTTCTTGTCATCCATGTTCCTACGTAAATTGCAAACATTAAACTAGAGTTGGTAATTGTTTCCAAATATCAAATGGAAACGATCTACCAACCCTACCAGTTGGTAGTTGTTTCCATTTGAAACACATTTGCAGAAGTTGAAGTGAGAATAGCTAGCTTCTTTAGGATTACTCGAAGCATTTGTTTCTGTTGTTTGAGTCGTTTCAGTCTACCGCTTTGTAAATTTAGAAAAAAATAGTTCCACTAATTAAACCTTCTAATTCAACACGTTATTTTGCACGTTAATTTTTTTATTGCCATCATTGTTACGTTGCTTATGATCTGATTGTAGATCACCTGTGGTCTCATTTTCTGAACTTAATTCTTAAAAAAGTATCGGAAACTGTTCCAGGTTGGCTACTAAGCTTCTCTTTGTTACAGAAATACTATTTAAGAATGTCAACCTTTGGAAGATCTTACTGTTTTCTTATCTCTATCTCTCTAAACCTACCTGCTCACTCAAAATACGTTGATTACTTGATAGAGCTACTTGTTACGTAAATTGCCATATTTTCTTCTAAAAGATTAAAAAATCTTTCGTTTCCGATTCGTTTGTTTGAACGCGATTCATAAATGAAAGACGACAATTTTTATTTTCTTGTTTTTTTCCAGTCGAGCAGGATTTTGCTTTATGGAGATATGAATTACAGACAAATTTTATTTGTGCATTAATTTATAACTGCTTTATTTCCTTGCCGTCTTGAAGAAATTGCTTTTTATCATCACGTCAGTGAAACTCTACTAGTTGAAACTGTTGATAACATGATGATAATTTGATACCATGATTTTGATGATTTCATTTCAGCTGACCTTATACTCTGTTTATTCAGTAATGAAATCTTGAAAACATTTTGCTAAATTTTTCATTTGCAATGTTTTCAACCGTTGTTGTTCACTTTTTATGTACCATAAGCGATAATCTAATGCGATACTTTCGACGTCCGCGCTGAAAATATACAAAGTACACATACATTTCACATGATTATCCGCCAACAATAAAATAATTAGGCTTCTATTCATTAACGGTTTCAGTTTATTAATGTAACCATTTTTCCGCATTGATATGACAACTTATCGACTAGGATTCGCAGTTTTGATATTTCACTTATTGGAACCATTCACTTATTCTACTCACTGATTGAATTAGTCGTGATTCAGAAGCCTAGATTGTTTAAAGCTTTGGTGATTCATACAAGTTTAGGGAGAGAGGAAGATGGTAAAAAATGTTGCCAAGCATAATGCAGCTCATGGATTTTAAAATTATTTCTTAATGTTTGTTTTTGATTTTTAATATACATTTAAGCTCAGTTGATAATTAGTAAAAATAATAAATTAGCGAATATATATTTAAGGTGGGTTATATAACTGCTAAAAATCATAGTAAATTAATTTAAATTCATTCAGTTACGTTTTAGCTATAGCTTTTTGGACTCGTTGTGCAAAGTTTTGATTGGTTTCACCAGGTCGTTTATGGTACGGCTCCAAGTAAGTAACATCATAAACTATTGCCCATGATGTAAATACACGTAATAAATATCGCCAAAATTTTGGTTCTGACCAAAAAGAATCTCCAAAACGTGCATCTTGCCTTTAAAATGCGTGATGAAATTTTTGAGAAAAGAATTCATCGGCCTTTAAGCTAGTAAATATCAAATATTTAAAAATTCCCTGGAATTTATTCAGATATTATCACCTTATTGCAATAGGGTAAATAGCAACACTATCTTCGAAAATAGCTTTTCGAAACTGCAAAACACGTGTGTTATTCGTGCAAGAGCCTTCAGGAAACAACAATACTGGACGATTGGCCTGAAATTTATGTAAAAAGAGGAAAATAATACTGGAAAATGGTCTGGTGTAGGAATGAGAATTTCTGCATTGAACACTGAAGCAATTAGTCTAATTTTAGATAATTGGAATAGAGAGAAGGTAAAACATGGAAAAAATTTTTTGAACTTCAAACCTTCGCTTCTCGGAGTACTTCATCCATAAAACGTTTGCGATCTGTGGCACTATTTCGATCGAGCCACAATGCTGGAATAATTTTTTCAGCAATAGTTTCAATAAACCGAATAATACCAGTTTGACGTTGACCGGTTATTGTAAAACCGCAACCGTCACTGGGATCAATGTCTGCATAAATTACCTGCACGTCATTTGGTGATAAATGATTCGTCACTGCAATACCTGAAAATTTTACTGGGAAGTAATATAAGAATTATAGCGGTCACGTGATTTTATGTGATAAAAAACGTTCACGTATCAAAATCTATCATTATGTAATAAAACAATTATATTGCACATGATATATATATATTTTAATCACATATATAATAATTATATTAATATACTGTTATAGTATTTAGTATAGGTTATAGTAGTTATAGTATTTAGTATAAGCAGTGTATAATTTAGTTTCCTAATTCGAAAATAACATTAAATGAAATAATTCAGTTTAAAATATTAAACAAAATGTCTTTACAGGTTTCTGTTAGTGCTAAGAAAACCAGTAACGATTACCTCCTTGTTTAGGCCTATATTCGCGATTATGATACTTTGCTACAAGGCCAATTGCAGCGCAAAATAATCGACAATTCATTAAAGTAATACGTAGTTTCTGTTCATTAGTCATGTTCATGAAATAGTCAACGACGATTGCATTTATCCAGAAAACGAGCGAAATAAATATTAAACACAACCGTATCGGTAACAGAACACCATAGCGAAATGCCAATGCGACAAAATAACCAAAAATATGTCGTTGTGAAATGGGATGTTCTGCATCCGGAACTGGTAATCGATCAGGACGTTCCAGTAATGTGTTATAAAATGATGGAGCTGGATCGAATGCAACACTCAATTGATCCTATCAACAATTAATAATGAAATTCAATACTTGAAAAAAAAATACAGTAATTAAAAAACTTATCCCTAAACAGTTGTTTTAAATATTAATTATAATAGAAAGTGATTTCGGTATATTTTATTCAAATATAAGATAAAATTTTGTATTGATATCAAAAAATTTAATAATAATTTGATGCGATATTTAATAATTATATGCTATAAAATATTAATAATTAATATTAATAATTAATAATCAAATTATTATTAAAATTCTTTTTTTTTTAATACCAATACAAAGTTTAATCAAATAATAATAAAATTTAATTAATATTATTTCTAAATATGATACTTCATGATTTAACCTTATCCTGTTAAATAAACATTCTAAAATTTGAATTTAAATATTAATTAATTATCCAATCATTATAAATATTATATTTAATTGTCTTAAAATTTAAATATTAATTTTCTAATTTTCTAAGCATTATAAGCAATATTTTTAAGCATTATATTTTAAAATTTCATTTCTTTTATTGATTGTTTTTCTCTCATATATTTTTTCTTAATTTAAAAAGAGAAAATTTTCAAGTTCAATCAAATAATAATAATAATAAAAATATGAGAGAGAGAGAGAGAAAAAGAGAAAAACTTTAAATATTATATTTAATTATCTTAAAATTTGAATATTAATTTTCTAATTTTCTAATTTTCTAAGCATTATAAGCAATATTTCTAAGCATTATATTTTAAAATAAAATTTGAATACCAATATTAAATGCAAAAGTAATTAGCAAAAAATATGAAACATTAAATCCAACCTGAATAATTGCTTCAAAGCCTGCCTTGAATGCATCCAAGCAAACATTAAATGCATTTAATATTGGAATTTCACTAAAATATAAAATATTTGTAGGAATTTAATTAATTATATTAAAAACAATAATAAATTTATTTCAAAAAATTTTGCAAAATTTTAAAAACTAAATTTTTCATTGTTTCAAATTTAACGTGATATTTGTTGTTAATTTAGTTTTTCCTTTGTTTTTTGCAAAGAATTTAAGATTAATTAAAATTTTCTAAAATTACCTGAAATGAAATGAAGAGAATGCATCATTAGAATGTTTTCGAAGCAATGACTTATCACATTGTTTAATAATTGCTGGCCAGAATGCATCATCATCAACTTGCGGATAATTATGTGGATAAAAACTTTGTACAAGTTTTACAAGTTTAATATATAAATGAGGCAATGGTCCCCAACCATATCCACAAACTATCAAGAGTACCGTAGTTAATACCAGACCCAATAACCATCTAACATATACTGATAGAATTGCCATCAACATATTTTATATCTCGGCAAATTTTATTATGATATAACATACACTGAAATTTTACGACAGTATTTCATTTAAAATATTCGTTAAGCCATCATAATCCGGTAAGTGAAAATAAACAAATTCCTTATCATAATCGATTAAAAACCTAGCAAATTTTCTTATCATAATGCATACCTGGCAAGCTTTCTTCTTATTATCACATCTGGCAAGCTTACCTGTTATAATTTCATCTAGCAATCTACTCCTATTGTATCTTTATCCAATATACATACCCTAACAATCTATCCTTATCAATCTACCCTTTCATCCGATACATACATCCCGACAATCCATCCTATCATATCTTCATTCGACAAACATACCTATCATATCTTTATCCTTTATTGTAGCTATATTTTTGACAATTCTCTCTTCCCTCATTAAATCTTACAATTCGATCAATAATATCTCATTCCATAATTAATCATTTTACTAATTCATAATTATTCTGTTACAAATATTCAACGATATTTCCTCTTTCTTTTTTTTTTTTCATTTTTGAAATATTCAAAATAAAATATTTTGTTTATTTAATTAACTTAACTAATTGGTAACACATTTTCAACGAAATCGATTAGCAGAAGTAAACATAAAGCTTTTGAAATAGAAATTAATTAAAAAAAAGTAAAGTGGAAAAGAGTGGTAAGAATGGCTGTCAATAATTGTGTGTGTGTGTGTGTGTGTGTGTGTGTGTGTGTGTGTGTGTGTGTACGAAAAGAGCAAAAAAAATCTTTGATCTTTTAACCTTGAAATTAGCAAAAAAAACTGTAAATGAAAATAGTTTTCATTGTTTTAAATTATTTTTTCACAAATAAAAAAGTGACAAAAAAATCTTATTAAATTTTTTTAAGGAAGAAAAATGTTGAAAATGATAATGAGACGAATCAATCTTGAACACAGATTGCGGTGATACGTTTTCTATGTACCTAAAAATTGGGTTACCGTAACATCATCAACATACACATACATGTACACATACACATACACCAATACATACACATACACATACACACACACACACATATATATGCTCACACGTACATATAAATCATTAAGACACACATACATTATGTACATCAATAATATTCACATACGCATACACATTCACATGCATACACACACACACACACACACATATATACATACACATATACATAAACATACACATACATATATATGCATACATGCTCACACATACACATACATACATATACATACATGCTCACACATACACATACATGCATATACATACATGCTCACACATATACATATACATACATGCTCACACATACATACATACATATATGTACATACATGCTCACACATATACATACATACATATACATACATGCTCACACATACACATACATATACATACATGCTCGCACAGACACATACATACATATACATGCATGCTGACACATACATATACACATACACATATATACACACACACACACGGAGACAAATAAGTAGGCGCTAAATGACCTCTCATTTAACAGAATAATGTGGCGCACTTGCCAGAAGATGACAAAAAACCAAAAATGAGTTGGAATTATTTGAGGAAATGGTAAAATGAGGAATGGAATTAAATTTACTGAAGAAAAGTAAATCTAAAAAATTTTTAAAATAAATAGAAAGTGGAGAGAAAGGAGTTACATGATACAAAGAAGTAATAATACTTTTATCATTTCTGATATAAAAAGGTAATAATAATATTTATATCACTTCTGATATGAAAAGGTAATAATATTTATATCATTTCTGATATGAAAATAATATGAAAAAGTAACAATATTTATATCATTTCTGATATGAAAAAGGTAATAATATTTATATCATTTCTGATATGAAAAGGTAATAATATTTATATCATTTCTGATATGAATATTTACATCATTCCTGATATGAAAATAATATTTATATCATTTCTGATATGAAAAGGTAATAATATATCTGATATGAAAACATTAAAGCTTAAAATGATACTAATAAAAAGAATTAGAAAACTAACTCGATGTATTAGTGGAATCTTATTATTGGAGCAAAGATAAATGTATAAGCATTATTTATTTGAAATTTAAATATATTTTTAGCCTTAAAAAAATTTTTAAATTATTTAAATTAAAAACTTTAATTAATTTTTAATTGCATTAATTTTGCATTAATTTTTAATTGCACTAACCAAGAGTTACAAATTTTTAATCTTCCAAAACTTTAATTAATTAAATAAAAAATTTATTTAATTAAATATCAGTTATTAAAATAAAATTTTTTAATGAAATATAAATTCAAAAAACATCATTAATAATATTTATCAATCATTTGTTAATAGTATTAACATTTATTGTTTAAAAAATATCATTAATAGCATTGTCGTTAATAGTTAATCATTAATAATGTTATCATTAATAGTATTATCATTCATAAACAAAATTTACTTTAAATTTTACTACAAAATATTTAGAAAATAAATGCGCTTGAATTTGATAGTCTAAGAAATTATATACAAATTTGTTTTTTAAAATTTGAGTTTTAGTTAGGGAAATAGAATTGTAAAGAAATTAAAAATTAGAAAGAAAAATTTAGAATAAAATTTTAAATTGAAAAACGTGAAAATTATAAGCTATAAACTATAATATTACTTTTACTCTTATCAGTTGATAATAGCATTTCAGAAGTTAATTTCAGGATTTCATTTTTATCTCCTCTTATCCCCTTCCTGCGTTTTATCATTCGCTGTGAACTACAATCAACTGATAGTAGCATTTAAATTTTATAAAATTTATTTCAAGATTTCATCCCTAATCTCGTTTTCCTCCTTCTTTTATTTTATCATTTAATTTCATCGATTACTGTACGAAAACATCTGTCAAGATAAGAAGAGAAAAATATGAGAAATTAAAATTACAAAGAAAATTTGACGGAAAAAGAAAGGAAGGAATAGCTGGTAGTAATATTAGCTATCAGACATCTTACGCAATCTGAATTCATTCATTTGATAAATATCTATTTCAATGATTAAGATGAAAGGAAAGCGCCTAAAACTTTAAATTAATTACTAATCATTTATCTTTTAATCATTTGCAATAAGAAAAAAAATCGAATTTAAATTTAATACTTGAATGAAATTGAAAAAAAAATGTAGTAAACGAAGAAAAATTCAATTTATTTCCAGTAATTCGTATTTTCTTTACAACAATATTAAATAATAATTAATCATTCATTCAATTAATTTATTTAATTTTTAATTAATTATTTTATTGTTTTCTTTTAATCGAATTAAATCTATCCATTCCATATCCCTTCCTAAAATTTCACATCAATTTTGTAAATTTTCATCAATATAAAATTCATTTTAACAATAATACTTCACACACACACATACACACATATGTATGTGACATTAATACACACATACACATTCATATATATGTATGTATGTGAATGGAAAAATTTGTATACAAATGAATGAAATATAAACAAAATATCGAAATAATACAAACAGACCTAAATTGATGAATGGATTTGATTATTTGGATTATTTGAATATATTAAAAGTTAAATGATCCATGAATAAATGCATTTATCATACTTATCTACTGATGGAAAATATTTAAATTTTTAAATATTTAAAGTAATTAAAATGATAGAATTCTTAAGTGTAATTAATGATTAGAAACAATACTTACTACTAATTCGTTTACATAAACAAATTATATTATATTATCATAAACTATATTATCATTAGCAAATTATATTATCATAAATTGCATTATCATATTATATTATATCATCATTATCATAATTATCAATAATTACCACTAATTATCAATTATCACTATTTATCACATAATTATATCATTGAATATCATTTCTCAGAAATTTCTATTTTATAGAAAGTAATAAGTTTATATTATTCAATGATCTAATATTGTCGTTGCATACATTAGTCCATTTCCTGAATCGATAAAATTAAATTCAGGTTGGATACATAATCAGTCCATTTCCTGAATATCGATATAATTAAAGTAAAGGAAAAAGGTTGTTCAAAATGATCAAAATTCAATAAAATAATTTTTTTTGAAATGTTGCAAAATTTTTGCTTTATAAAATCCTACCGAACTTTTGCATTTATCCTTTACTGTCTCATTTTAATTAACCTATTTTAATTATTATAATTAAAATAAAAACAAAACTTTATCTTTCATTGCTTTTTTGTTTTAATAATTGATTTAAATTATTTATTAATGTTACTGATAATTTCAAATATTATACAACAAAACTTTTACTTATCTAATCAAATAAGCATAAAGTATAAAATGATTTTGTTTGTACAGTTTGCACTTATCCTTTACTATATCTCATTAAATTATTACAACTTTTTATTAATTTCAATTAATTAATCTATTGCGTAGGTTTTGTTTAAATTATGCAAATTAGTAAAATTTGGTAAATTTTGCAGAATGAAAAGAATGCAATTGAATTAATATGAAATAAAATAAGGCAAATACAAATGCGAAAACTAAAATTGCTAATATCAATAAAACTCATTTCTTAATTTTTAAAAAATTCTTTGTGAAAAATCATTTCCATTAAAACAATGGACAATGAAGCATTACAGTATTAAATGGAAATGTAATATTATATTTTACAACAATACAATGCAATATATTTATAATATAATCCAATACAATACTAAAATTTATTATAGTAATACTTCATTTGCATAAAAATTTAATAAGTTTAAATATCACATAAAAAAAGGTTTGCTCGCATTTTTGGATAATTAATGAAATATCGTTTTTTTTTTTTGCTAGCTAATTAATATGAAGAATTAGGAAAAAGCTGATAATTTGGTTGTTAAGTAAATTGATAAGGGAATGGATGTCTAACCTTTGAAATGGCTTATATGTTAATGATAAGATATCATTTCATATAGTGATAATATTTTCATCAGCAACAATATTCACCTTTGATGATTTTTACCTTCTATGGGAGTAATTTCAAATTTCGAATGAATCCATTGTCTTATCAATCAATACATAAAAAAGCATAGCGTATGAAGTATTAATTAATTTTGTTCAAATTAAAATCAATAAAGAATGAAATGAATAAACACAACAAAATATACATGGAGAAAGTAGCAAATTTTCAAATATGATAATAATTGAAACAATTAAAAATATAACTCATTTGTATTAAATTTTCCTGACAGTAATAGTAGGGTAGAAAAATCGATGCTCTTAAAGAAACGGAATCAATATCGAACAAGAACATGATTGCTACCAACCAGTGGAACCAACATCACCGACATATACATTTAAAGATGATGAAACCAAATCCTAAAAATAAAGAAATAAAGAATTACAGAACAAATTTTTTATGAAATAATTTAAAATTATAAATTTAAAATAAAATTTTTTTTAATTAAATTTATTGTAAACATAAAGATTATTTAATATTAAAACAAAAGGAGAAAATTCAAGTTTTTCCCATTTGTATTAATTAAATTAAATAACATTGTTATTATATTTGTTTCTTTTGTTTTTCTTTCTTTCCTTCTTTGGAATCAAAAAGAGATCACAAATGATTTGCAAAAAAAAAAAAAGGAAAAATTAAATCAATAAATTTGCAAAAATTAATTAATTAATTAACCAACTTGATGTTGCAAATCGTTTCGCTTAAGAAAATTCTTTGTTGTTGAATTACACTGTTGTTGTTGTTGTTGTTGTTGTTGTTGCTCAATAATACATCGTATTATAGCATTCCATTTTTCCTTAACAAATAATTTCTTATAATTCGGTCCTAAACATATCTCTTCAATTTGCTTAATATCTCGTGCCTTTACAATTGCATCACGAAATGTCGCATTATTAGTCACCAAACGACGCCATCGACCTGTAATTTTCCTTTTTTCAATCAAGGTCAACTCTATGCTAATAAAAAAAAAGGGATCATTTATAGAAAGTATTAATTTGAAATGATATTTCTAAAAGGTAATAAAAAATTACGTTTTTCTTTATCAATAAATTTATCATTTTAATACTATCTCTGTCTTCTAATGAATGCATAATATTTCTTTTGGAAGGGAATAGAATTTAATTTTAGGAAGAGAATTTAAGAATAATAAGCTTTCTTGAATTGAAAAATTATTTACCAAATTCTTGTTCGGTTAATTTACGACAGCCGATACCGCGTATTTTCCCAATACAACGAATTAAGCGTTCAATTGAAGGATCGGAATCATAATAATTTGGCATATATGAAATTCCTCAAATATTATTGAATAATAATTAATTTAAATTTCCAATTTAATATTCCATTTTCAAATTTTAATTTTAAAAAATTATATGAAATTTAATTGTTTAAAAAATTCTTCATTTTAGTTTAGTGTGAAAAATTTTCAAACTTTAAACAATAAATAATTTCATAATTTTTCCATTAGAATTTTAGGTTAGAATTTAAATTTAAAAATTTTAGAATTTTAAATTAGAATTTAAAAAATTAGAATTTAAATTAATTTCAAAATTTGGAGGAAATTTTTTGATATCTTTTCAAAAATTAAATTATTCGAAGAATTCTACGTTTTTCTTGATGATGTAAAATTTCAAAATTTACCTTCAAGCGTTGATTGTGATGATGCATCACCTTCAGCAAGAGCCATTTCAGCAGATCGATAAATTTCCGTGATTGAACGAACTTTTGAAAGTTGATTTTCGCTAGCTGTTATCTCATCCGTTTGTAATGATGGACATCTATTCATGTTAGCCTAAATTGTCATTAATTAATTAAAAAAAACTTTTAAATTTATCATTCTTTTTCCATTGCATCAAAAATCTTAGATTAAAGTTCATGATTTCGTCATTTGATAATTAAAAATATAATATAAAATTGGCTCATATTCGATTTAATACAATATTTGACTAAGTTAAATTCGAATAAAATTTATCACTTATCATTTTTGTATATGATAATGTGAAATCATTTAGAAGATTAACAATATTTATTTTTAATAATTTCAAAAAATATTTTCACAAAGTAAGCTATCAATAATAATTAACCGGAGGAGGCGATTAATTAATTATTCGTAAATTGATTGATTCATCAATCAATTATTAAGCTAATAATTACAATCATTAATAATACTAACATTATTATTATTCACATGTTTGTTAGATAAATTCGCCAGAATACGGCTTCGCCATTCTGAATAACATTTTGGCAGATCTCCTGTAACAGTAATTCCAGAATCTGTCGTTATTGATTGTTGTTGTGAATAATTTCTCCGTGAAGCATTTTGTAAATTCTGTTCCGAGCATATCGATGAATGAGATGACAATGATGAATTCATATGTACCGTACTTTGAACTGTTGTAGAAGATCTAAAATATAATTTGAAATTTTAAATTTAAATTAAAAATTGAGATCAATCTAAATGTATCAGATAACTACTGAAAAATTACTTAAGTTTTATCTAAAATTCTTTCTATCAAATTTACAGCAAATTATATACAGTTGTAATATAAAATTTCATTTCAGTTCAATTATCATCCTTTCAATTTAAATTTAATTTTTAATTTAAATTCTTTAATATAAATATGAATTCTATAACATTTCATTTCAGCTGGATTATCATCCTTTCCATTTAAATTTAATTTTTAATTTAAATTCTGCAGAATAATAAGAAATCATTTCATTACTGTATATAATTTTAAATTCAATATGACTTAAGGATTTGAATTCATATTGAATTTAAATATTAGATTTAAATTCTGAAATATAATATAGCATAAATATGAATACAGTAATGGAAGAAAAAGTGCTTTATTAAAAGTGAATTTTTTAAACGTATCATTTTAAATTGATAATACAAACCGTTCGTTTGTTATTGGAACACTTGGCAATTGCTTCGATTTTGCACTATTCTTATCATTCCACCAATGATCACTGATACCAAATTTACTAATTGTAATATCTAAATAAGAAATAATTAATTGAACTATTTAAATATGATAAAAAAACGTGATCATTAAATGTTAAAAAATTTCCAATTATATTAATTAATAAATCTTAGAAGAAAATTTTTTGATAATTAATTTGAAAAATTTACAATTTTTCTTAATTTTTCTTTGTAATTTTCTTAATATATAAGAAAGAATAATTTCAAAAGAATTGTATTAATTTCAATTAATTTATGAAAGATATTCTCTTTTACGACAGAAAATTAAAAAATTCTTTTAATAATTGATTTCAACATTTTTCAACAAACGAACCATTTGATGAAGTATTTTGTCGTTGTAAATTTCTTTGCTTACTTCCAATCTTCCATCGGAAACAAATAAAAGCAAAGAGAAAAATGAGAAAGGTAACAAATATGCCACCAATGATAAAAAGAATTGGCCATGATAACAGAGCATTATCATCCGTATCATCTATATCTTCTTGACTTCTTGCAATTTCTCCTCCGCTTGTTTCATTTGATGATCCGATAGCATTAAATGATTTATGATTGATCGAATTTATCGATGAATCACTAAAAACTAATCATTAAATTTATTAAAATTTAAACATTTTCTTCTAGAAATATTTAATTTCTTTTTTCCTTTTTTGATATTCGCCTTTAAACAACAACAATAATATATATAAGCTATATGATTTAAATATTTATATAGTTTAAATTATATGATTTATATGATTTTAATAATTATATGATTTAAACAACAACAAATAATAGCTATTTGTAATAATTCTAAAGAACAAAAAAGAAAATCAAAATAAGTTTTAAAGTACAAAAGTACATATATATTATATATTTTATATTTATAATATATTACATATATATATATAAACAAAAACAAAACTAACGCTAAAGTGACAGCATTAAATGATGGATTTATGATCGGAGTATCAAGTTGGCTAATTTCCGGTGAACCATATGTACATTTAATAATATATGTCCGATCACCGAGTAAAATTATCGCTGGATTTTTTCCAATTCGAATTCGATTTTGAAATACTCCGGTAGAGGGCTAAAATTCGAATAGAAATGATAATACTGAATGAATTAGAAGAAATAGAAAGAGATGAAAATTTATGAGAATATAGCTTGAAAATTCTTTCATGAAAATCATTTAGAAAAGATATGATAATTGATACAAAACTTTTCATTAAAAATTTTAGGTAATTTCAAATTCATCCTGATTACCTGAACCGTTTGAACTGTTTAAAATCTACAATCAATTGATTAACGATATTTCTAGGAGCCTTTTTATGGCTTTACTGTCTCGCCGATGAGATAATTGTAGTAAATGCGACGTTTAAAAAACCAAATTTCTCAACTCATCTGTTGAAATTCGTTGTTTCCTTATGCAGATAATACATTTTTCCGGATTCACTAACTTCCTCTCTAACTGATGAATCCGGTTCAAATTCCGAAAAACTATCTTATATTTTACCATTATGCCTTATAACAATAACTTAGCGGAAGCTAATACTTCATCTTCCATTGTAAAAATCATATTATCAAGAACAGAATTTGTGGATACCGAAAATTTTTTATACTATCCAACCTAAATTTCACATATTTCCTTTCTTCATTCGTTCCATTGCTACTTTCAGAATTGTAAATTGGAACATATTGAAATGAAATTTCTATTTCGGTCAAATTTCAATTTCGTCTTTAGGAAATGGATGAAGAAAAAACTCCGAAAATTGGTGGCAAAAATTTTACAATTTTTCTTTCTTACTGACAGCAATTATTAACCAAATTTTTCCTACCAACCTCATGAAATATTGTGGAAAAAAAGAGTACCATTTTTATGAAGAAAATGTTACACTTTTTCTAATATATCACCTAACTATGCTAACTAAAACTTAATTTCAATTTTAATTTTGAACTAAAATGTCATCTAACTATGCTAACTAAAATTTAACCTCAATTTTAATTTTGAACAGCTAATTTGAATTCAAACATAAATTTAAAAACGAACAAATTTTAATTTAATATCGACCTTGCTAGAATAATTAAAAATGCTAGCTAATTAAGTGATATATTAAAATTAGAGTTTAGCAAAAATTACTATTCACAAATTTTGTTCATTAAAAATACAACAACAATATCTTAATGCCTTTGAAATGTAGATGTAAGCGGTGCAGCATCCATTGAAATATCATCGAAATTTTCAGAATCAATCTGATAATTCAATATGATATATTCCGGATCACTTGATTGCATATCAATATAACATCAAAAATAAGCTTTATAAAAAAGACTCCGTCAAATTTGAAATCTCTACCATTTGTGTTTGGCATGGATCATTGAAAACTGCAAGTTCGATAACATACTGCAATTCACCATTTCCTTTCAACCGACATTCAGCACGGTTATTTGTTCCAACAATAATCCAATCCTCAAATCGTCCTTCCGGCCAATCATCGCCATTAAATGTTAATATCACTTTAATCGATCGCTGCTCACATGTCGGTGTCACTATAAAATTTAAAAAATTTAATTATTCACCAGTAATTAATCATATTTTTAATAATCTTCTACTGTAAAATCAATAATTTACTTCAAATAATTCAGTAAGCTATTGAAATTTCGAAAATTTTAAAATGAATTTACAACTTTTTTAAGCTTTAACTTTATGTGAAATGAATAAATATACTATATACACATATATAATAGTATCATCAATAATTCATACTAGTTTAAGATACAGTACTATCAATAATTCATATTATTTTATAAGATACAGTGCCATCAATAATTCACATTAGTTTATAAGATACAGTGCTATCAATAATTCACATTAGTTTACAAAATACATATTTATATAAATTTAGATACATGTTTTTGTTTATAACACAAAGTTGATAATTTGAAATTTAGTAATTTAACATTATATTTTCAACACCTCTATTTTAAATCAATAAATAATCATATTTAATAAGTTTTAATATGAAATTATTAATTGACTAATTACTTATATGTGCATTCTTTTTCTCTTTTTTCTTTTCTACAAGAAATAGTCATAAAATAATATATATCATTGTATAAACTTTATGTGTTTCGTTATATTAATAAAAATTCGTGAACATTGCAATAAATAGATATTAGATATTGGACATAGCATAAAACGAATATCTCTCAAGTATAATATCATGAATTTTTAATTAACTACTGAAATTATTTCAATAGAATTAATTATTAATTAGAAATTTTTAATTCAAAGTGTTTGTATTATCCAGTGTATATATGTATGTATCATCCAAAGGCGATCTTTTTACAAACATAATAACATGAATTATGATGGCAATAATAGTAAACAAATAAATAAATAAAGAAGTCAATCAATGATTATAACAATAAGTTGATAACAATAAAGACATGGTAATTAATAATGACTATAATAAAAGTAAAAATATTATTAATAATAAAAGTAATATTAATAAACAGTAATAATAGATAGAGGTAATAAATAATAATAATAATATTAGTAAATAATTATAATAAATAATAACAGTAATAAATAATAATAATAAAATAAACAAATAAATAAATAATAATGGCAATAAATACTAGAAAATTTATATTATATATATATGCATAGGTGAAATTTTTGAATAAGATTTTCATTTCTCTTTTCAGCAATTTCAACATAATATTGCCCTATCGGTGTAATTTAAAACTTATCAACTTTATGAAAAATTTATCAACTTTACTCTAATCCATTATTTTGCACATTTTGTCTCATTACAGTTGTTCAAAAATGACAGAATTCAAAAATTAAAATTGATGCGAAATATTGAGAGATATAATTCTATCGTTATAAATAGTCTAATATTATCAGCACTACAAACTACAAATTAGAAAATGAAAATGATCATGATAACAGATTGATAATGGAGTAAAAAAAATGAGAGTAAAAAAAGATAAGTATAATGAAAAAAGCAATAATGAAGATGAAATAATGATTGATAGAATCATCATATATAGCATGAAGTATTAATAATGTTAAATGATAATATGATAACAGTATCATTGCTAGCTAATTCATTGTTTAATAATTAAGAAATTTAGCATATAATTTCTGCATGAAACACATCTTTTATAATATTCATATAATTTTGAATACTCTAATAGTAAGATATTTAAAGCAGTAATTACTGCATAATTAAATAGAGTTAAAAAAAACAAATGAAAAATCAATGAAATTATAATTTACCATTGACATAATATTGTTGTTGCAATTTTGTTGCTATAGGAATTGCAATACAGCTTATAACTGTAATTAAGGCAGTAAAAAATTGCAAATTCAAATCCATCGTATCAAAATTGAATATTTTGAATAGTAATAATTAGCCAAATTGTTGTTGCCTCATAATATCTTCAAGCAATATAAATATCGCATAAATTAATTAATGTCGTAAATTTCCTCCAACGATTATTCGTTTCGTAAATTTATAATTTTAACATGAAAAATTGAAAATACGTTTGTTATATCTCAGAAAAAATTCTTCCTGAAAACATAATCGTTTGTATGTCAAATAAAATTTTGGCTAAAACTGAAAATATAAATTTCATTTAAAAAAATTAAAGATGAATGACTTTAATATTGAAAAAAGAAAGAAGAAATTTTTAATGTGATAAAAAAGTTTTCATTATTTTAAAAATATAATCTATAATAAGATATACATCGATAGGCTGTGACACCAATTATTTGATAATTATCAACGACAACACCAAGAAATACACTATTACCGGATACTAGTAGAAATATTTACCGCGTTCCGATATGAATTTAAAAAAGAAAATA